TATTTTTTTATTGGTTTGTTTTCAAATATTTTCAATCTGCAGTTGGTTGAATCCGTGGGTGTGGAACCTGAGGATATGGACTGACTGTACTTCAAAATGCAACTCAGGCGTTGCTGCCCCAGTGAATCTTTCTGACAATCTCCCTGCTCCATCTCAACGTTGGCACCTACCATATGCTTTGTAACTGTTAGTCTGCTCTCCTATTAGACTGCAAGTTATCTGAGGGCAAGGATTTTTGTCCTATCTATGTTTGTATCCCACGTGCATCAAATGGTGGATGGCATACAGCGAGGTCTTGAAAAGTGTTTATGGAATTAAAGTTGAGTGATCCTGTAACGTTAGCTATTTGGAGAGTTCCACAGATTACTGTGTACAGTCATCCCTCAGTATTCTCAGGGGATTGGTTCCAGGATTCCCGTGGATACCATAATCCAAGGATGCTCAAGTACCCTTATGTAAAATGGCTTTTTATACCTACCTTATTCCTTGCCTAATTAGGATTTAGGAGCAATATTTCAATCATTTACTAATGGCTCTCCTTTGGGTCAGTAGAAGAAAAATGGTTCCTATAGAAACAATCTTCTAAATAAATGATTGTACAGAGACATTTTCCTGGAGGCTACAAAGTGACCTATTGAAATATACTAAATTGGTTCTTCTCTGTCAGGAGATTCAGATCCTTCCTTTATTTCATTTTGAAATAGAAGCATAAACGGGGAAAAATGTGCTCTGCAATCCTCTGCCATGCTTTAGAGCATGTAAATAGCATCAAGCACAAAAAAATTTCAAGCTGTCAAGAGTAAAGAAAGTATGATAATTTGGGATAATTAAATGCTTAAGACAATCAAAATAGAACTGATCCTAGTAAGCTTTTCTCACTTGAAGGAAACTTCTTTAAAAAGTAGTTACTGATCTCAATGTCTTTCAATAGGACTGTAAAAAAACTGTGATATAACAATCCGCAGTTTGGAATATTTTGCAGTCTTTAAAAAAGAAGAAAGCATACCTATATGTATGGACATGGAAGGATATATGGTTGTTTTAAAAAAATAAAAATTGTGAATAATTCATATACTATGATCCCATTCATATAAAAGTAGCAGAAACAGAAGCAAAATATATACAAAGAGAGGGCACTGAAAAGATGCACATACCAAACTGTATTCAATTCTGCATTGAAAGCTTTTGCTTCTGTGTCTATTTCCTCTACCAGATTATAAATTGCTTTCTTGCCAGATCAAATATAGGACACTCAATTAAATTTGAATTTCAACTGTAAACAACAATTTTTTTTTTTAGTGCATTTCCCAAATGTTTCATGGGACACCCTTATACTAAAAAAATTATTCATTGTTTATCTGAAATTTAAGTTTAACTGGGTGCCTCGTATTTTTATTTGCCAAATCTGGCAAGTACTTTAGGGAGGCCTTAAATTATTCATCCTTGTAATCCTTTCAATAATACAGTTACAGAGATATAACAGGTCACAAGAAATGGCAGGAGGGAGAGTAATTAAGAAGAGAACAATAATAACAGGTGATTTTGCTAAGTGTGTTACACACATCATCTCAATTCTCATGGAAATGTTTTGAAATTTTATGAGTGGTCCTATTTTACAGATTAAGAAACAAAAGTATACAGAAGACACACAGCAAGCAAACGTTGGTGCTAGAAATGACCCTAAGTTTCTGCATCCCTTTCCAGCAGCCATAACCAATTTCCAGCTGCAGGAAAGTAGAGAGGGATAAAAAGTAAAACGAGAAAGAATGAGGGGTGAGGCTTCCATTCTGCCTAAATGGAACAGAGCAGAACATTGCACAAACCCCTTAATCTCGCCTAGAGGCAGAATGTGTGATGTACTGTATGGGAGGCAGGCAAATCTGGACCTAGTTCCCACCTCCATCACTCATTTGAACAAGTTATATAATTTAATTTTACATCAATTTTCTCATTTGTGAAACTGGAGTGAGAGGACCTAATCTGAGTACTGTTGTGGAGGATAAATGAGATAATTTCTGTAAAGTGATCAGCACAGGGCTTGGAAGGAGAAGACAGTCAATGCTAGTTATTATTAGCTCAAAGCTCCAGTTTTTTCATTTGTAAAACAGAATGACAACAATAATAACAAGACAATAATACTAATGATATCTATCTTGCCTCTGAGTTGTTTGGAGGATCAGATGAGAATATATATTAATTATCTTTCTAAATTTCTAAAGTACATCTCACCCTCCTAACAGCAGTTGCTCTTTTAGGTCAGAACCAGAGTTAGTATTACACCAGAACATTACTATAGTTTGTTCCAATGAGTAATTAATTTTATTTCTAAACTTACCCTACAGTAAAACTGACTCTTTTTGTTGTATAAAGTTCTGTGAGTTTTAACGCTTGCATAGATTTATATAACCACCACCACAATCAGAATACAGAACATGACTACAGCTTTAGAGATTCTTTTTCCAAAGTGTCTCACATTCATGTTTCAAAACACTTTTAAAAATAAGAAGAGATTTAGATAAAAGTGCCGAAGATGCAAAGTAATGAAACTGGCTCTTTTGCACAAATCTCAGCAGCCTCCAGGACCCACCAGCTTTTGTCTGGGCCATTTTTTGCTGTTGGTTCTTCAGACTATCTTTCTACAAAGGTAATCAGGCATCCATCTGAGAGTTGGTGCCTTTCCTCACACTAAAGGCACACGTCCCAGGCACAAACTTCAGCATCCCTTATTTGATCCTTTTTATATGACCGGATCTTAATTTTCCTAACCTTGTTTTCCTAATTGCTATTTTCCCCCTAAAATGAAGCAGCTTGGAATAACCAGCACCTTTTTACCCTTTCAGGGAAATTATTTGATTGGGACAAAGGGGATACGAGCTATTAAGAGAGCAATGATGAGGCTTTCGGGACCCTAAACCTATCCAGTACAGTAACAGATCCTTCTGGTAATAATCACTCAATCTGTCCCTTTCCCCAACCCCTTGTCCTCTCCACCACCGCCTGACGGACGCCCCCTGGGACGATCGACTTTGGGACCAAACCTCTCTCCCAGGTCAGCCTCCTCCAACCCCTATTCTCCCACCTCTTGAGCTTTCCCTGCTTAAATGACTTGCGCTGACACACAGATCCACATCTGGTGAAGGGGGCGGGTCCGCTTTCCGGGTGACTCACGTCGTTGCTATTTGCCTTTTGTTTCTGGGATGCTTTGGCTGCCGTTTTCTTCCTTCTGCTTTTAATTTTGGGAGGAGAAAAGCTAATGAATCAAGAATGACTCTCCTTTCCACTAATCTATTTTTTTCTTAAAGTTGGTTCTCTCTCTTCACAAGTTCCATAACTACGCAAGAAGCGCGGGGGCGGGAGAGGCAGGAACGCATTAATTACACCTAAATCTAAAGTTTGCAGCCTAAGGTACCACTTTGATGGGGAGACTTTCTGAAGCTCCCTTACAACATGCTGGGCGTTTGCTGCAGCCGCTGTGATCCTCAGCTCATTTCTCTCTGCTGCAGCTTTGCGCTGTTCTGTCACCCCCAAATCTATCTTGTCACTACCAAAGGTGCCCGAATCAGAGTGAATTCCACGAGATTCGCCAGCGGTTTTGTTCCCGTGCAAGGTAAATACAGTATGCAAAATGAGGAGCCACCAAAGGATGGCCGGGAGGGGGGAGAGAAAGGGATTCCCTCACCCTCTCCTGGCAAGTTCCCCGTTAATTTCCACCAGGAGGAGGCGCGCAGCCCAGTGTCCCTAGTCTCTCTTCTTTAATCCCCCTGAGTAGGCTTGCCGAGGTTGGCCGAGCGCCCAAGTCCCTTCAGCAGTCCCGGCCCTCCCCCGCCCCCCGGGTTGGTTTTTCCCAGCTGCGGAGGTTGGGCTGGGGTGCCAGGAGAGCCGGCGCCCGCTGCGCGGAGCCGGGAAGTCGTCGCGACTCTGCTGGAACTCGGAGTTAGCTCGGGAGGCGGCGGGCGCGGAGGTGAGCGGTGGGGAGCCAGCAACCAGCGAGGGAACCCGGAGGTGGCGCTGGGGCTCCTCCCCACCCTCGGGCGGAGAGTAGCGTGGGTTCGGGTTGCCAGCCTTCCCCGAGTCCCCCCGCCGCTTTGTTCGCGGGCTCTCCCCTCCCGGTTGGAAAGAACCTGAACCCCTTGGGGATCCGAAGGGCTGGCGGAGCGTGGGCCGGGGGTCCCTCCACTTCCTGCTAAAGCGAGAAGGTACCAAAGGGGATCAAAAGACTCCTGTAACCTGAAACTTCCCTCTCTTCCCAACCTGGACCCGGAGGAGAGGTCTGGGACAAGGCAGAGACCTCGAGGGCAGGTCGTCTGCGGAGGTGGTAGGGGAAAAGGAGCTGGAAGACGGAGAAGTTTGGTCGGAGAGGCGCTGGGAATTAAGTGAGAAGTTACACGCGGGAGACGAGTGTGATCAGGAAAGGAGGGGGCGGGCGGCTGGACGGGTATATAAAGTGTGGGCCAGGGGAGAAGGAAGACTTTGCGCTCCGGGTCTCAGGACGCGCGTCCCTCTCCCGGGTAAGGATGTGCGGAGGGGCTGGGGAAGGAGAGGCCCGGGCGGGCTTTCGGAGGAAGGTCTCAGGGACACTGTAGAGACGACTTGGCTCGAGGAGGCCGGTTCCTACATTTGGGCAGCCGCGGGAGCCGCCGCTCCTCACGCTTCTGTCCCGCTTGTCCCAGGTCGTGCAGCGGATCCAGCGAGGGGCGCCAACAAAAGAGACGAGGAGGTGCCACGGCAGGCAGAGGCGCGGGAGGAGGAGCGCGGAGCCGAGCGTCCCGACCCGCCGTGCGTACTTTCTGGAGGGAAGGGGCGGGGGAATCGGCTCGGGGAGGGGGACGCCCGGTGGCTAGGGGGTTAGCCAAGTTCCGGCTGCGGCGTCCCTCCTCCGCTCCCACGAGAGGAAAGTTTTCTTCAGACGCTTCCGGCCGGCTCGCGCCCTCCGGGCCCAGCCTCCCGAGCTTTCGGAGCGGGCGCCGTCTCGGCCCTGCTCCGGGGAAACGCGAGCCGCGATGCCTGGGGGGTGCTCCCGGGGCCCCGCCGCCGGAGACGGGCGGCTGCGGCTGGCGCGGCTGGCGCTGATCCTCCTGGGCTGGGTCTCCTCGTCCTCTCCCACCTCCTCGGCGTCCTCCTCCTCCACCTTCTCGGCGTCGTTCCTGGCCTCCGCCGTGTCCGCCCGGCCCCCGCTGCCCAGCCAGTGCCCCCAGCCGTGCGAGTGCTCCGAGGCGGCGCGCACCGTCAAGTGCGTTAACCGCAATCTGACCGAGGTGCCCACGGACCTGCCCCCCTACGTGCGCAACCTCTTCCTCACCGGCAACCACCTGGCGGTGCTTCCTGCCGGCGCCTTCGCCCGCCGGCCGCCGCTGGCCGAGCTGGCCGCGCTCAACCTCAGCGGCAGCCGCCTGGAGGAGGTGCGCGCCGGCGCCTTCGAGCATCTGCCCAGCCTGCGCCAGCTCGACCTCAGCCACAACCCACTGACCAGCCTCAGCCCCTTCGCTTTTTCGGGCAGCAACGCCAGCGTCTCAGCCCCTAGCACCCTGGTGGAACTGATCCTGAACCACATCGTGCCTCCCGAGGATGACCGGCAGAACCAGAGCTCCTTCGAACGGCACAACCGGAGCTTCGAGGGCATGGTGGCCGCTGCCCTGCGGGCGGGTCAGGCACTGCGTGGGCTCCGCCGCCTGGAGCTGGCCAGCAACCACTTCCTCTACCTGCCCCGGAATGTGCTGGCCCAACTGCCCGGCCTCAGGTACCTGGACTTGAGTAACAACTCGCTGGTGAGCCTGACCTACGTGTCCTTCCGCAACCTGACACATCTAGAAAGCCTCCACCTGGAGGACAATGCCCTCAAGGTCCTTCACAACGGCACCCTGGATGAATTGCAAGGCCTGCCCCACGTCAGGGTCTTCCTGGACAACAATCCCTGGGTCTGCGACTGCCTCATGGCGGACATGGTGGCCTGGCTCAAGGTGACAGAGATAGTGCAGGGCAAATCCAGGCTCACCTGTGCATTCCCGGAAAAAATGAGGAATCGGGTCCTCTTGCAACTCGACAGCGCTGACCTGGAGTGTGACCCGATCCTTCCCCAGTCCCTGCAGACTTCTTATGTCTTCCTGGGTATTGTTTTAGCCCTGATAGGCGCTATTTTCCTCCTGGTTTTGTATTTGAACCGCAAGGGGATAAAAAAATGGATGCATAACATCAGAGATGCCTGCAGGGATCACATGGAAGGGTATCATTACAGATACGAAATCAATGCAGACCCCAGGTTAACAAACCTCAGTTCTAATTCGGATGTCTGAGAAACATTAGAGGACAGAACAAGGACAACTCTGCATGAGGTGTAGACTTAAGCTTTATCCCTTACTAGGCTTGCTCCACTTTCACCCTCCACTATAGACACCACTGACTTTGAAAGCAGTGGAGGGGATTTGCTTCCTTGTTATGTAAAGTTTCTTGGTGTGTTCTGTTAATGTAAGACGATGAACAACTGTTGAGAGGGCATAGTGTTCACTGTTCACTATGTTCAGAGGGCATAGTGTCATACCCTCTTCCTTTCCTTGGAACTCCTCAACACGTGTGGAGGGATTTTTCAAGTTTCAGCATGAACATGGACTCCATGCTGTCTGTCTCTCTCTTAGTACTGTTTCAGGTGTAGCAAGTGTACCCACACAGATAGCATTCAACAAAAGCTGCCTCAACTTTTTTGAGAAAAATACTTTATTCATAAATATCAGTTTTATTCTCATGTACCTAAATTGTGGAGAAAATAATTGCATCCCATAAACTGCCTGCAGACCATAGCAAGCTCTTCAAAATAACTCCATAGTACACAGGAGCACCTGCATCCGAGAGCATGCTTATATTTTACTGTTCTGCATATTACAAAAAGTAACTTGCAACTTCAGATAACTTCTTTGACCAAATAAATTACCTTTTTGATTGCAGTTTATATGAAACTGTACTGAAGTTTTTTTATAAACTGCATCGAGATCCAACAAACTGAATTGTTAAAAAAAATCAATAAAGATTCTTAAAAGAATTACAGTGTGCTCAAGTTTGCTATTTCAAAAAAGGATTAAGGGCAATAATATTGAATGGTCTTGGTTCAGATGATAATTAAGTTAATATAGCTGAGAATCAGGTTTTAGCCATGTCTTATGTAATAGACTTTCGAGATAGTTTTGAAATAGTAGATCTTTTTAGGATTTAAATAGAGAATTTGAATATTCATGTGTCTGGACTTCTCATGGTACCAGAATCAATATTAGTTTGTAACAATTTTGTAATAGCTTTATGAAGTTGGTAAGAGTGAAGAGTTCTGTACAATAAACAGTTCACAGTTAGGGTTTTTTTCAAGACTAATGAAGTTACTGTTAGCACTGAATAGTATTAGTAATAAAACTCTCCATATGAAACTTTTCTATAGATTTTTAGAACAGAATGTGAAAAAAAAGTAATGCAAATAAATATATGAAAATAAAGTGTCTTAAAGACAGAATATTCTAACATAAAAGATTTAAAAATATAAATTTAAAAAATATCTCTTAAGATCGTAATGTGAATTGGAACTTGAGAATATTTTAAAAAAACATTTAAGATGGTACATGAATGTTTGATAGTTTATCAGAGACCCAGCTAATATGTTTAAAAAGTTGACATGATTGAATATGAACTTGAGGAAATAGCCAGAGATAATTATCTATGTCTATAAACAAGTGTCTCAACTAATTATAGGTTCTTAAATTCAGTTCAGTATTAAATAATTTGAGGATATTTTGATTTAAGCTAAGCTCTATGTAAGTATATACACCTCTGTGAAGAGTAAATCACATTTAGGTATAAATAAAAACAGTCATGATAAGGAATTGATACCATCAATAATAGACACGGTTCTGTTTTTTCCCCCAGAGTTTATTATCTGCCAGTTAAGCTGAAAAGTAAATTCTGTTAATCAATCTCCAAGCTATTATTTTAAGTGACTTAAATTTAGCCACTACTGTTTAACTTAAAGTAGTAGGCAAACTTGCATCTGTATGTCTTAGGCCCTGCTTCCCTTTTAAACTAGTTATGTTCTGCAGTGCTTAATATTTGAAATCAAATACACATTTCCATATTTTTATAAATAAAGTAGGATTAGATAGTACTTTGGGTTCTAGAAATCTTTGCTGATTCCTTCTTTGAATTAAATTCAGAAATTATCAAAATAGGACTAGAAATATGTAAATCTTTTCCTTTTATAGATAAGATTATACAGTCAGAATATGAAGCTTTAACTCTTTAAATATAAGGCTTATTTTATGAAATATAGTATTCATTATTTATGGGTTATATCTCAGATCCTGTAATTACCTGAGAAAAGCCTAAATATTTGGCACTTAATATTCCATTAATCATTTCAAGTGTTCACTAGGAATTCATAAACTGGCTGGCTGCCATTATTTCCTAAAAATGGTGAGACACTAGTCTACAAAAATAGTGAAAACATTTAGTAAATAATAACACACTATCTTAGTAAACCGCTGATGGACTTTGATAAGTCTGCTGATATTGTAGAAAACAAATTATAATATCAATAGAAACTCTATTTAGAAGGATTGTTTCTTCATCCTGTGATAATCTAATAGTTAAAAATTGAGCTTTATTTAAGATCCAGGAAAGCAGTAGGTTCATTTGCCTAGGTTTTCTCAACTCCCTGAAGCAATGATCAATCTGTGATAAAGTGAAGCAGTTTTTGTCAGTTAGGTGTTTGGCTTCTTTGAAGTTACAATTTCTTGCTTCTTTTTCATCCTGCTGCTTCCTCCTTTGTGTGGACTTCCCAATTTGCCACTGCTTTGTTTTCTATGACATCACTTCTTGCCATTCTCCAAAATATGGCCATAGAAAATTCTTCAGGTAAAACATAGTAATTGTTTGATGACTAATTGATACTGTGTAGTCCTAATACTCTCAGTCTCTAAGCCTGTAAGACTGTCTAAGTTCCTTGGAAGTAGATGCTATGTAAATCCAGTAAGTATAAGGGAATATAGGAAAATGAAATAAAAATATAACTTTATTTAAAAATAAAACAAGTCTACTTGTTTTAAACACTGTTCTTTAGAATCATTATGCATTATTTATCCTAGAAATTGAGAAATATCCATTTCAAAAAATTTATTTGGGTTAGTAATATACTTTATTACTGAGCTTAAAATTTTCAGCAGAAAACATCATTTATCCTTTACAAGTTTCATTTAAAGAAAGTCAGAAAAAATACTTAAAAATTAAAGCACTTGATAAATCCCTCAATTTAAAAGGCTATTAAAATGCCCAATGAATTTTCTATTTAAAGTAGCACAGATTTTAGGATGATATAGCTATTTGACCCTGGAGTGTGTCTCTCACCCTTTCATTGTAACCATTCAGTTTGCAGCGTTAGCTTTTGTAGTATCAGTTTTGCTGCCACAAGTGACCTATAAGGCGACCAATAAGGTAAATTTGTACAGGAGCTGGTAGAGTTTTCTTATAAAATAAGGAAAATTTGAAGCACATTTGATAGAGTTTTTTAAAGGAAACAGAGTAGGGTTGGGGGGAAGGCTGGATTGAAAATAAATGAGCAAATCACAAATAGTAAACCCTTTTAAAATACCTTGATTGGCAGCAAATATGGATTATGCTCATCTCAATATTAAATTAGAAATAACTTATATCTTTGTTTTCTGTCTTTAATTAAAGTAGCTATAAAAAGAAGGTCTAAATGAACTGAAATTGTTTCTTAAGAATTCTGTTTTATCCTTTGTTTTTGGTCTGATGTTCTAATATGGGGCTTACCTTGTTGAGGACGTTAGAGGCTTTGCAACTCTAGTTTGCAAATCTTTTATATCATTTCTGCTTTCCATTTTAATTTTTCTCCGAAGACTACACTAAAGGGGACGCCATAAGGACTAAAAACACTATGAAGTTTAGAAACAATTTTGCACCTGCTTCCTTCTGCTTCCAAATCCAGTCATCCACCCTTTAGAGAAGCACCATAAAGTGAAGAGAGACATTTATTAGATGAAATAGAGGTTTCACTTTTACACTTACGGATTAAGGATTTTTAACAGTAAAGGATAGGAAAGGGAGGAAGATAAATTTCTAGATAATATATGAAAATTACCTTGACAATGTCTTTTAAAAACCTTTTAGCAATCCTGCAGTGCCACACTAGAAATAAGTAGTTTAAGAAAATATATTCTGTGTTGTCCAGACGATTGTATCTCCTTTTAGTTGGGGAAAAACAGCTTCTTGAGGATGTTTTGTACAGTTATTTTTCCATTCATACACTTTTGATTTAAAAAGGTAGGCTTGTTTTATTTTGTTTTATTTTGGAACTTGTTAGCATCTCTACCCTTGTTCTGGGTTAAAAAAAAATCTAGATTTAAAAAAAATGTTTACTATAAGATTTATATAATTTTAGCAAGAACAGAATTCTTAGTATTTCAAAACTGGAAGGGCTTGGAGACTTGTCAAGCCCAGTTTCCCATTCTACAAATGACGAAACTGGTAATTGGGACTTATTATATTATATAATCACAGCAGGATGAAATCCCTGGGTTCTAGATTCTCCGTCTAGTGCTCTTTTTGCCAGATGATGGCATTACTAATTGTCTACCTTGAGGCCTTGGAAATCCTCATGTCTAACAAAAAAAAACCAATTGCTTTGGTGAATTTATTTGTTTTATTGTTTTTGCTTTGAGTGAATATTTCAATTTTCTCTAGATTTCACTTCCAGTTTGTTAAAAATTACTGTTTCAAACCCCTGAATATACCTAAATGTTTTTGAAGTGATTTTTTTCATAGCAGTCTTATTACTATGAAGCTCCTCTGAGTCTATGACATGATAGGAAATATTTTAGAAATTTAATGGTGATTTTGAAAAGAAAAATAAAAACTCTGGAATGCTGTGCTAACTTGTGTAATTCTACCTTAAAGATTAGTTAGCTCAGCTGGTGAGAAAACTAAACAAATGTGACCAAGTTCATGGCCATGAAGTTAGTCAGTCACCAGGTGAGACAGCATTACATTCTCTGCTATTCTCCTAGCTCACGCCCACTCCAGGTGCATGCTACCATCCTCCAAGGGCCTGACCAAACAGGAAAGGTAAATCAATGCAAATCCATTATCACCTTGGAACTGCTGATGTGCCAGTTTACTGTCTTCTCGTGCAGGTCCACACACGACAGTCCCAATTTCCTCATGTTATAGTATTTATGCCACAGATTGCAAAAGTTTTTAACATTTATGTGATTTTTCAGAAAAATCTAACATGAATCCCTTTCAA